TCAGGCTTTAGCTTTACTCTGACAGGGCAACCAAAAGAAAAACCGCCAATGTCATTCACTTACCGGCACAATCCACCGTGGTGTGATCATGGATGTTGAAGATACCTAAAATAAATGTTATATGTGTGTTTACTTTTAGGGAAGTCTGATTTTCATAATCATTCTCATAATGCTTTCTTCTACTATGAAATGCACAGTTCTTAATGGTTCCCCCTAAGCTGACAAGCACTTTGAATCCAAGATCCTTTTCTATGACACAGATGCCATACGCACCACTTAAGAGGGAATCTCTTTAATTTAAAAATGTTCTACTCCAAGAATGCTGTTTCTACTTTCAGTTCCTTATTAATGGGCTTCCCTCGCTCCCCAACCCTGGCATCCAGTTTAGCATTTTATTTTCTGACATTTCAGTTCATTGCAAACAATCATAGCCTTCTTGGTAGCATCCTGAACAGGGGATTGCGACTAATCCAAATTAATAGCACAAAAGACGTACACAGAAAAACAAATCTGTTTATGTACAGGTCATTCCCTGATTATCATGCACACACAAACATTCATACTGCTCCTGACTCAGGGTCTTTGTTACATTCTTTTTAATGTTTAATTTTCTAGATCTTACTTCCATGTGTAGAATTATAATTTCATGAACTCTTCCTATTTTATACAAAATCAGACTAGTCCCTAGACTGGTGGCCTTAGATCCTGATAGGAAAAAACTAACATAAGTCCAGGTCTTATTAATAAGTTAGGTGACCACCAGAAGAACAAAAATACAACGTAAGACTTTCCCATCAATATAAAGTAAATGTACTTTTATCACAGGAAATAAAAAGGACAGAGAAAGAGAAAGACTACATGGTAAAGGTAAACCAAAAAATGGTTTGGCAGAAACACATCCTATAGTAACCATAATCACAGTAAATATAAATGGATTAAACTCCATTTATATAACATATAAATGTATCTATGTATATAATATGTATACAATATATAAATTTATATATCTATATAAACTCCATTCAAATAAGACTTAAAAAACAAGATAAAAGGGCACCTAGGTGGCTCAGTCAGTTAAGTGTCTGACTTCAGCTCAGGTCATGATCTTACGGTTCATGGGTTCGAGCTCTGTGCTGACAGCTCAGAGCCTAGAGCCTGCTTCTCATGTCTCCCCCTCTCTCTCTGCTCCTCTCTGTCCATGCTCTGTTTCTCTCTCTGTCTCTCTCTCAAAATAAATAAACAACAACAACAAAAAAACAAGATGCAGCAAACTGTTGTTCACAAAGGTTCACTTAAAACCAACAGATACAAAAAGGCTAAAAATAAAAGCACAGGAGGTTATACACTAAGCAATATAAACTTAAAAAGAAAGCTAGGGTGTTAATTTTGTATCAGTCACAAAGGAAATTAAGAGAAAAAAAAGGGGCAAAGAAGGACACTGTAAAGTGCTCAAAGGAGTTTGAGAAAGTTTAATTACTGTTAATATACGTCCATCTCACAGCATATCTTCAAAATACACCAACAACTGACAGATTTAGCAATAGATGAGAAGTGAATTAATCACTAATTGATACAGGTATGAAACACACTCTAGAAACTGACAGAATATTAAAGAGAATCAGCAGATTGACTAATGAATGAATTCGGCAAATCTGTTAGACACAAAATTAACTTATAAATTCAACTGTAAAAAATTAAATACCATTCAAGGTATCAACAAAATTGTAACAAAACTATAAAGTCTATAGGACTTAACCTGCAACTTAAGAAGACTTATAGAGAACACTTACAGACTCAAATAAAGATGAGAGAAAACACAAGTATCGTGTTCCTGAAAATGAAAAGATTTTACAAAAGTACCAGGTTTTTTTTTTTTCCAAAATAATCTATAAATTTAATATAAACTGCATTAAAATGCCAGGAGAATTTTGGGGAAAATCTGCCATACTGATGCTGAAATTTATAAGAATACATGTGATATCAGCACAAAGCCAGAGTAATAAACACAACGGTGGTAGAGCAGAAAGACAGAGCCCACTGGATCAGAAACACACCAACTGGGAAAGGATGGATTATTTAGTAGATAATATTGGGAAAATTGGATCTTTATATGGATGAATGCAAATTTGGGTCATATCGAAACCACAACTGACCTCCTCCCCCAAAACTTCAAACTATTCTAACGGATTAAAATCTCAGTGTGAAAGGTAAAATAAAATTAAAGCTAACAGAAAAGAACACCTTTGATCTCAGGGGATGGGGTGGCAGATGCGGAAGGATTTTTTTCAAACCCTACACCCCAAACAATGAGAAAAAATGAAGAACGAATGGCATCAGAATAAAAGGTTTCTGTTCAGTCAAGGCTATACACCTATTTTACTCATCCATCTCCACAGTGATAGACATAGCTTGCCTCAATCTCCTCGCTACCTGCTAAAATGACACAGTGATAAAAATGCCTCAGATGTGTTAACACACAGATTATGAGAAAATATTTTTAATATCTAAGACTGACATATGATTAACAACTAGACTGACTATACAAGAAATTCCTGAAATCATCAGGAAAAAGACAGGAAACCTGATAGAAAAATGGGTAAAAGAAATGAATAGGTGACTCACTCACAGGGGAAACTTAAATCAGCAATAAAACAATGGAGGAAATATACCATTTAACTCATGTGAACTGTAACAATGAGACAAACCCATAAAGATGGAACATATTAGACAATCAGATAAAACGCAGTGTAAGGAAAAACTGGTAGGAATGTAACTGTGGGAGCCATTCTGGGGGCAGAGAGCAATATCCAGTATTCATATGTGCATGCAATTCAGCAATACTACTTGTGGGTATTTATCCCACATTCTCCCACAGTGCCTTCAAAGAAATGTGAAGCTGTTTTTTGAAGTTATATTAGTTGCAGGTGTACAATATAATGATTCAACAATTCTATACATTTCTCAGAGCTCATCAAGGTAAGTGTACTCTTAATCCCCTGCACCTACGTCACCCATCCACCTACCTAACTCCCCTCTGGTGACCACCAGTTTGTTCTCTGTATTTAAGAGTCTGTTTTATTATTTGTCTCTTTTTCCTCTGTTCATTTGTTTGGTTTCTTAAATTGCACACATGAATAAAATCCTATGGTATTTGTCTCTGTCTCCCTTATTTCACTTAACATTATGCCCTCTAGCTCCATCCATGTTGTTGCAAATGGCAAGATTTCATTCTTTTTTTATTACTAATATTCCATTGTATGTATATACCACAACTTCTTTATCCATTCATGTAATATCAGTCGATATTTGGGTTGCCTCTATATCTTGGCTATTATGAATAATGCTGCAATAAACATATGGGTGCACAGATCTTTTTGAATTACTGTTTTCATTTTCTTTGGGTAAATACCCAGGAGTGGAATTACTGGATCATATGGTGATTCTATTTTTAATTTTTTGAGGAACCTCCATACTGCTTTTAGCAGACGTTTATCTAAATAAATATATGAAAGGTTCCTGGAAGGACACATAGCAAATACAGTAGAATGGGTGCCTCGGAGGAAAAGGGGAATGGAAGTCAGGAATGGAGGCCAAAGGAAAACAAAAGAAGACAAACAAAAGAACACCTGCATGGACCTAAGAAGATAGTCTGCTGTGGCCTGAGAGATATAATTTGGGCATCTGACTTTAAAAAAATTGGATACTATCCTATTGGTCTTAGAGATATCTTGTCACAAATTTATTTTACATATTTACTAATTTCCAAACTGATAGGAATCTTAGCGCTTTCCAGAACTTTTTCCCTAGCCTTAGTAATAGATATTTCTGCTATAAATTTTAGATTCTTTCTGCCTTTGTTCCTCTCAGGGAAGACAGAACTTTATGATTATAATTTGCACACTCCTTGAGAATGCTAACTATAAATGAGGTAAACATAAAAATATAATAAAAACCCTTCCCTCAATAAAATGCACTTTATTTAATTTTTTAAAATGTTTTTATTTATTTTAGAGAGAGAGAGAGAGAGAGAGAGCGAGAGAGTGAGCGCACAAGTGCGCGTGGGGAGCAGAGAGAGAGGGAGAGCACAGAATCCAAAGCAGGCTCCAGGCTCTGAGCTGTCAGCACAGAGCCTGATATGGGGCTCGAACTCACGTGCTGTGATATTATGACCTGAGCTGAAGTGGGATGCTTAACCGACTGAGCCACCCAGGCGCCCCAATGCATACTTTATTTAAATATCTATAATTTTTTTATAGCTTTACTGTTTTATTTTTACAGTTTTACTGTTTTCAGTGAGGAAAAGTTTTGTTGAATTTTTCTTTCAGAATACAATAGCCTTCTTAAAGCCAGTTTAAAATTAATGGGAAAATAAAATCTCACAAAAAAACAGGAATACCTGAAAATAATAAAAATTAGAAAGTACAGAACTTATATTGGTGGGGCTATAATGACAAACTTTAATACAGGAAGTCTTGAATGAGAAAAACATTGTATTCTTAGCTAAGAAGAAAAATTATTACAAATTTGGCAATTTCTTCAAATTAACTTATGAATTGAATGTATTTGCAAATAAAAACCCAAAGGATTTGGGAGGGGTAGGACATGAAAAAAAGAATTCTATAATTCGTCTGAAAGAATTAATAAGCAAAAGTAACAAAACAAAACAGCTACATCATGATGCCTGGCTGACCTTACTGTATATCAAAATCAGTTAAAAAGCTAGTTATTAAAAGAGTGTTACAAATCTGTAAGTGTAACAGAACAGTCCATATGCAGAATCTAAAATACATCATATTCTAAATTTTGATTTAAAATAAAAAAGCAGTCTTAATTTTTAGGGAAGGAAAAACATATTAGTGACACAAAAGGGTTGTTTAATCATTTGATTTTCATCACTCTATCCACTTATGATAGAGTGTACATGGAATAAGGTTCTGAGTTATTCCCCAGGGATTCCTTCTCTGGCCTTTAGGCCATCTTACATTAATCTTCAAAGTTCCTTTTTTTTTTTTTGTCTTTATAAAGTATTACCATGGCTCAATACTGACAATATCCCTTGTATCTTCTGCCTATCCACTTCTCCAGATTTGTGATTTATTCTTATCCTTTGGTCAAGTCTCTGTTTATTGATCTAAGCTGGTGGTTCCAAAAGAGTAGTTCCCAAACCACATCTGCATCACCTGGAACATGCGAGAAATGCAACTCCTCAGGCCCCAACCCCCGACACCAAATCAGAAACTCTGAAGGCGGAGCCAGTAATCTTTGATGCACCCTCCAGATGATTCTGATACACACCTAAGTTTAAAAATTTTTTTTTTCAACGTTTATTTATTTTTGGGACAGAGAGAGACAGAGCATGAACGGGGGAGGGGCAGAGAGAGAGGGAGACACAGAATCGGAAACAGGCTCCAGGCTCCGAGCCATCAGCCCAGAGCCTGACGCGGGGCTCGAACTCACGGACCGCGAGATCATGACCTGGCTGAAGTCGGACGCTTAACCGACTGCGCCACCCAGGCGCCCCTACACACCTAAGTTTAAGAACTAAATTTTTAAGCAAACACCCAGCTGCACAGAGAGCACTATCTGTACTTCCAAGCCTTAAGAATGACTTGTAGTTCCCAAAGCAGTTCTTGTCATGTTACTCAGAAGACACTAAATGAGTTATTTGTATACCTTTCATCCCTATGTCTCTGGCAGGAAAGAACTGTTTCTTATTTGTATTATAATTCAGCCATAGTATCCAACAGAGCATCTTCCATACTGCAGTAACAATCAATATGTTCAATGCCAACCATTCTTATGCTCTATATCCTTATTGTTTTAACTCTATTTATCTCCACAGTCTTCCTCTCATGTTATTTAATATAATGTTGAATAACAAAGAGGCTTATAGTAACATGTGGTTTCTATAAAGTGACACATAAATTCAAAGTGGTGAAATTTTAGTAGAAAGGCAAAGCTAAGTGGTTACTGAAGTATGGCCTCTTATTAAATGAACAGTTTTACTATATGGTTAAAAAGGCAAAATTTGGGGGTGCTTCAGTTGGCTAAGCGTCTGACTCTTGATTTCAGCTCAGGTCACCATCTCACAGTTCATGAGATCAAGCCCTGTGTGGGGCTCTGCACTGACAGCATGGAGCCTACTTGGGATTCTCTCTCTCTCTCTCTCTCTCTCTCTCTCTCTCTCTCTTTCTCTCTGCCCCTCCCCCCTACTTACACACACACTCTCTCAAAATAAATTTTTTTTTATTTAAAAAAAAAATTTTTTTTTTTAACATTTATTTATTTTTGAGACAGAGAGAGAACATGAACAGGGGAGGGTCAGAGAAAGAGGGAGACACAGAATCTGAAACAGGCTCCAGGCTCCGAGCTGTCAGCACAGAGCCCAACGCGGGGCTCGAACCCACGGACCGCGAGATCATGACCTGAGCCGAAGTCGGACGCTTAACCGACTGAGCCACCCAGGCACCCCAATAAACTTTTTTTTAAAAAAAGGCAAAGATTGGAATGTAGCAGGAATACTTTTCAAAACAGAAATTCCTTTCCACTTTGCTGTTTTAAGCATATTTACCTGAGGTGTGATTGTGTGGTCAATTAGATTCTCAGTCAGAGATAAAAGCAAGGCATCCAATTCATCTGTAGCATCCTAGGGAAGATAAAAAATACATAACTGTTAAATGAATCATTAACCACCTAACTAAATTTTTTCCGCATCTTCTCAATTTACAATTCTGACTCAGGCCTGCTTGGTGTTAACCTTTAAAAAACTTCAGGACATTCAGGAATCATGGTTATTATAGTGATTCCACTTTTGCTTGAAGAGGAACCAGACTACAGTCAGAAGCTGAAAAAGATAAAGTATCATGTGAATTTTTACATAGCTACTCTTTTTAGTGAGACAAAACTCGGGTAAGGTTAAGACCGTCCTGGCTCTTAGTTCTTAGACTTGTAGAGAGAGGTAAAAAGGTTCAGCATAGGAGACAATGAGTGAAGAAGATGCCTAAATTACAAACACTGCTTTATCCAGATGTGCCAGTACATCACTGTTTACAGAAGAGTACAATATGAACTTCCCCCATAAATGTTAATTAACACTTTTTAATTACTATTTGAAACACCTTATGGAAGATGCAGCTCTGCACTATAGAAGAGAGAGATAGAGAGACAAGGTAGGTAGGTAGGAAGAACTTAAAGAGAATAAAAGATAAAATTCCAATCTGGAAATAAAAGAAGAATTCAGGGTCTAGTACACATAACAAAAAGGCCCTTGGCTTATACAGTTCTATTTCCACCTATCTGGCTTGAGGCTGTGGTCAATCTCCTATTTATGTCTCAACATTCAACTTAATTTTAATCACACATAGGAAAAAGTTGTTCTCTCACTTCTCACATCTCCCTCCTGTTATACCAACCTTCCCCCCACCCCCCCGCCGTGGCCTGGGTGAGTGCCCCCAAACAGCGTGTATCTGTCTCTACCACAATGTATTAAAATTCTGTTCCCCAGTGGAATATAAGCAGTTTGAAAAAAGAGGCCGTGTTTCATTCACTTCTGAATTTTTGAAACTAGTGTGTTGCCTGGTACATATTATAAATGCAATAAATCTTTGAATTAAATGTCCTTCTCTGTTCCAAAAAATCTCAGGTTCCACTTCAATTTCAATGACCAACAATGTCAATATGGCTTTTTAGAATTTTAATGAGCAGAAAGGAAGCTCCTGACTGAAGATATTTTAGGTTGGATTTTTTTAAAACCCAAAAGTCTGAAAAATTATACACCTAAATATTAAGTATACATTGTCTTTGGATAGTGGGAATATAGGAGATTCCTAATTTTTTCTCTTTATGAAGGATTTGGCAAATTTCTACAATAAATGCATTTATGTAGTTAAAGAGGTAAACATTTATTTGCAAGGACAATTTCTTATTTAACTTGCAAATTAAAACACTCAGTGGGCAATGAACTGGGTTTCTCTGATTTCTAGACTGATACAGGTGTGACAAGTGGCTATCAGGAAGGCAGGGGCTGTGATGACCTGGTTACACTGCCAACACAATGACAGGTTGCTGGTGTTTCAATTAATATTTATTTAGTGCCTACTATGTGTCATCTATCATTTGAGACACTAGGGAGGCATAGCCAGCATCAAAAAAACAAAAATACAAAGAGCACCTAAAACAAAAGGCCAACAAATAACAGAGAAACTGAAGAAGCCCTGTGATACTCTTGTGAGAGATCTGACAATAGGATTCTCCCTAGAGAACTGAGGCTCAATGCTTTTCTTACAGCTTAAGTTCCGGTATCCATCAGAAATCACCAGATGTCTATGATTATACTGCAGGACTCAACTCAGTATGGTCTTCAGAGAAACCTTCAAAAGTAAGGGTTGTTACCTTAAGAACAGAACCATTTGCTGCAGGTGTGGTATGCATCAGAGCAAGAGAATCTTCAGGAAGGGGCACATTATTCTCATTTAATACAGCACTGGAAGAAAAAGATAAATTTACATCATGGAGCACCTATACAGGCATAGGGAGCATTTTCAAAGAAAGGGCTTCAGGAAGAAGAGTAATGCTTCACGTAGAGGAAGAAGAAATGACAATTTGTGAGGGGCGTGATGGCAGTCAGTGTTGCACTCATATGCCTTTGTGAGACCCTTCCCCATCTACCATGTAACAATTTTCATATCCACATCAGACTCATTCACAGATGGATCAAAATGGCAGACTACTTTGCTTCCCTCTTAAATCTTACTGAAGGTTCAGAAAAGATTTATCTTAAAATAAGGCAGATACACCAAAAAGATAAATCAAGTGACTGATTAAAAAAATTTTTTTAATGTTTATTCATTTTTTGAGAGAGAGAGAGAGAGAGAGAGAGAGAGAGAGAGCACGCATGAGTGGGAGAGGGGCAGAAAGAGAGGGAGACACAGAATCTGAAGCAGGCTCTAGGCTCCGAGCTGTCAGCACAGAACCCGACGTGGGGCTCGAACTCATGAACCACGTGATCATGACCTGAGCTGAAGTCAGACGCTTAACCGACTGAGCCATCCAGGTGCCCCCAAGCGACTGATTTTTAAAAGCTGTTATCAAATACATGGATGGGAAACCTTGGTGGACTAGAAATGAATCAGAATACCTGAGATATGGGAGAACAGTCAGGAAACCAGAGGGAGAAGCCAACACTTAAGGACACAGGCTGCAGAGCTCTGCTGCAGAAGGCAGAAGCCACATCTAGAGTGCTCCAGATATTACAACAGGATTAGCCAGGTGACAGGATGCCAGAGAATCTGCTACCCGAAGGCCTGGCAGGAATCACAGTGGTGTCTAATCCCAGATAAGAATAGTGAGAACAGGAGCAGCGTTACAGATGGCTTCAACACCAGGGAGGGAAGGGGGAAATCTAGAGCCAAAGACCGTCATCCACCAGGATAACATATCCAGCAGGAAACCCCAGTCCTTCCTAATGTCACTGAAAAGTGTGCAAACAGGAGCAGTTCCTGTCCAAGCCTACAAGGAGAATGAGAAAAAATGAGAAATAAATCCCAGAGTGAAAAAGTGAAGTGGAAGCTATGACTGTTGCATCCACAACTCTGAGGCAAAAAGAGGCAAGGAAACAAAAAAAGAAGAAATAGTTGTGAGAAACAGAGCAGCAATCAAGATGTTTCAATTAACGGATACTAGACATTCAAGAAGATAATGACTTATGATTTTCCAGAACTCAAAAAAGACATAGGTCTTCAGATGGAAAGGCCACCTTGAATACTAACAACAACAACAAAAAAAAAACTGTTTTAAACCTATTCTTAGACCATACAGTAATGAAAATGAAGAACTTCAAGAATAAGCAAGCAGTAAAGCCTAAAAAAGAAAAAAATATAACTTTGTGCTTCAGAAAGAAGAAACAGCTCAGAGGAAAAGATTCAATGTAAGAAAAAGTGAGCATTAAAAGGAGTGAAACATGTTGTACAATGAATTCTCCCACACCTTCAAGAAAAGATTAGTCATATGTACTTTACACTGCTGCAAAACATGGAAAGAAGATGAAAAGGTTCCGCAGCCATTCTGCTCAGTGTTATGTCATGACCCAGCAAATTCACTCCCATGTAGGTATACACCCTAAAAAAATCCTCACAACATGTGTAAGGAAGAACATGTACAACATTAATTTGGAACAAACCCTGGTCCATTAATAAAAGAATAAACCGTGACTGACTTAGGTAATGGCAGTTACAATGAAGGAACTATGGATAATTTTTTAAAATTCAGATATGTCAAAACAAAACCCACTAAATTATATTCTTTAAATGGGTGAAATGCATATTTGTTTATTTATTTATTTATTTATTTATTTATTTATTTATTTATTTAGAGCATATACACACAGACAAGCGAGGGAGAGAGGGAGGGGGAGAGGAAGAGAGGAAGAGAGGGAGGGAGGGAGAGGGGGAGAGGGAGGGGGAGGGGGAGGAAATCTTAAGCAGGCTCCACGCTCAGCCCAATGCAGGGCTCGATCCCACAACCCTGGGATCATGACCTGAGCCGAAATCAAGAAGCAGATGCTCAAGTGGCTAAAGCCACCCAGGTGCCCCTTCCCCCACCATAGCATTTAAATTTTATCTCAATGAAGCTGTTACTACAAAAATAAATGATCTGCATAGCCATTTCTCCAAAGTAAAAAAGACATCCAACATCCTCAGTGAATCAAAAGTCAAACCACAATGAGACATGCTTCATACTCTCTAGGATGGCTATAATTCTAAAGATGGAGAACAATGAGCACTGGAACGAACGTGGAGAAACTGGTACCCATATACACTGTTGGTGGGAACAGAAAATGTCGCTATTTTGGAAGACAGTTTGGCAGTTCCTCAAAAGTTGAACCTAAGAGTTACCAAATGACTCAGCAATAACCTTCCTGGGTATATATTAATAGAACTGAAAGCGTGTCTACAAAAATTATTTTTTGTTGTTGTTTATTTATTTTGAGAGAGAGAGAGCGAGTGCACACAAGCAGGGGAGGGACAGTGAGAAAGGGACAGAGAAAATCTCAAGCAGCCTCCACTCTGTTAGTGTGAAGCCTGATGCAGGGCTCGAACTCA